AGGCACCAATTGATCACATATTTTTCTTCTGTTATACAAGTTATCAGCTGTGCAACTGTGCAGGGCCTTTGTTATCCTTTCTTTTAGGTTGATAAGATACATATTTCCAAAGGGAGACAGCTTTTGCAGGCACGCCAATCTAGCACCTGCTCTCTCTGATTATGCAGCCATGCTGTTGTAACACCTGCAGAATTTTGCTTGGTAGTGTCATGTTGAAATAAGCATGAATGTCCCTGAAAATGTCAGCGTCTAGAAGGCAGCATATGTTGCTCTAAAATGTGTTCAGCGTTATTGGTGCTTTCACAGATGTGCATGTTACCCACTAATGTCCATACCAAGACAGATGAGAACACGACGTCCATTATTTCCATATTGAACATGAAGATTGACTCATCAGAACACAAAACACATTTCCGCTGTGCATCAGTCTATTTCAGATGAGCTTGAGCACTGAGAAATTGGCAGCATTTCTGGGTGTTGTTGACTTTCACTGTGCATAGTAAAGTCCTAACTTGCATTTGTGAATGTAGCAACGATGTTCCTTTATAGTCAAGCATCATTGCATCACCGGTTCAAGATGTTTTTTAAACATTTCACAATGTTCCTAGTCTTAAATTGCCTCATCCCAACTTTTTTGGAATATGTTGCAGGCATCAATATCAGAGTGTATATACACAATATGGACAAAAGTATTGGGACACACCTCTTAATCACTGAATGCAGGTTTCATTCAGTCTCATTGGCAGAGGTGTATAAAATCATGCACCTAGCCATGCAGTCTGCCTTTACAAATGTTTGTAAAAGAATAGGTCATTCTAAAGAGCTCAATGAATTCGAGCATGGGACTGTAATAGGGTGCAACCATTGCAAGTCAGTTTGTGAATTCTCTTCCCTCCTCTTGTAGAAAGCTTTCCAGAAGAGTGGAAGCTGTTATAACTGCGAAGGGGGGACCAACTCCATATTAATTCCTATGGATTTAGAATGGGATGTCATAAAAGCTCCTGTAGGTGTATGTAGGTGTAGGTGTCCCACTATTTTGTCCATATAGTGTATATATATATATATATATATATATATATATATATATATATATATTATACTATACTATTATACTATATATATTATATATAAGTTGGTGAGGTTTGTGAAGTTGATAATCATTTTGTAACCTCTTCAGATGTCTGTTTCCTATCACCACCATAGTGAACAATTCTGACTTGGAAAATTTCTCTAGAACACAGGTTTTCACATGAAACCACTCTAAATGACTTTGTTTGTATCTTAATAATTTAATTTTGCAGAAATTAAAACAAAAAAATGTCACAATTCCCCTTTTAAGAAACACTAATCTATGGTGATAGTATAATAAGCTAGATTTCTATATTTACAGTAGCGTATAATAATCTATAATATTTTTGCCTGCATATAATAATTTAATAATTATATATAATACAGTATCCTCCAGTAAACTATAGTAATTGTCTGAATTTATTATAAGACTCCTATAGGAATCCTGTACAAATGCCAATAGTATTGATATATATCTTTTTTGTCAGGGTATTGTACTCAAAACCTCCTTTTAAAAGGTGTTGTAAAAGGTGATGTAGAATATGGCACTAAGCATGCAGAGCATGGAAAGAAAGTTGTTCATTTTTCTCATAATTTAAAATAGAAACATTATGATTTCTTTGCTAAATCACATTGCAGACATCAGTACACATTTGGCAATACAGGTCACTTCACTGACATGGACATGCAAATGCTTTTAGAGTTTCAGAGCAGTTATAAGTGGAGTTACAGAAGTGTTTTCCAGCCTATTGTACAAGCAGCATGCTATCACAACCTCCTGGAGCCATGCCATTAAATTTTGGGTGACACGCCTTGCAGTGTTCAAGCTACCATCTTTCAGTAGTACAATTGAAGTAGGCTCAGTGGAACAAATGAAAGTAATTCTGGGTTGTGAGATTATGTTGCACTTGTCACCATTCCTTTACCTGAATGGCAATATCCAGGTACTTTCATGGAGCTGAAAAGCGTATCATGACTGGATTAGAAAGTTGAGCATAAGTTTATGATCTTATTGTCAGCAAATCAGGTTTCTGGATTGCTAGTTTAAATTAGAACATATAAAAATATTTAATTTTCAAGGAAAATGCAGTTATTTCAGAACCTTCATTGACATTATACCACTGCCTGCAATAAAACTCCCTGTGTTGCTTCCTCTCTCAGAGGCCTTATATGGTCATGCATCCTCTCTCAGCTAGCGTGACACTTTTTTTTCTGAGGAACGGGGTTATCTGTCTCAGGCCTCCTACCACGTGTGATTAGAGTGCTACAGAAAACAAAGTCACATGGCAAGCGTGCATGCCACAAAAAGAAAATAAATTAGTAAAGGTGTAAAATTGTGATATGTCTTATAATCTTTTGTACATGGTTTATGTTTCACAGTGCTACTCATTTTGGCGCATCTCAGTTTGACTCCAGATGGAACACCCTGAATTATTAATAGTCAGTTTTAAAAGTTTTTATTATTTGGATGTTCGTATGAAAGTATTGTTAGATTCATTTCAAGTAGACAAACATTTTTTTCATGTTAAGGGCTCTCTTACTAACACATAACCATAACACAATAATCAAACAACTGTATAGAAATGAAGAGGATTTCTTTAAACTACAACACAGCTTTTTCATGAGGTTGCGTTTCAGAATGGTCCATAACTGGGAATTTATGAAAAGACCTAAAAAAGAAGCTCAGAGGAAGAAGCTCAGACCAATGATCCAATTCAAGTGTAGTCACTTAAAGGGAAAATCCACCAATTTTTCAAAATAGCTTCATGATTCAGCATTAAAATTAAGTAACTGAGAACGGTTTGATTGGAAAAAGTTCATTGTAGAGAAGCTTACTGACTCAGATATCTTTACAGGTGCAGAGATAGGAAACAGGGGTTGCAATGACTACAACACAAATATAGTCATTTTACTTACCATCCAAAACCACCAGTGAACCTACATGTGTCTTCTGATTTTTGATATGTAATGTTGATAATGGTAAAATAATGGTAAATCTGAAACAGTTTGTTTTCTTTGGGAACTATTTTGCCTTACAACACCCTGCATGCTCTTTTCTGCCATGAATGCAATAACATATGTATGTTTTAGGCCAAAACTTTATCTCAGAACTAACATAAAGTGTCTCAGGCATCAAGCAGTGTATTCGTAACCATTTCATGTAATAACCCTCTGTGAGGGAGCTTTTAACCCATAGCATTAAAATCTTTGGACGTCTGGTTCCTATCATCACCACTGTGAACAATTCTGACTGAATCTAGATTCTGAAAAGTTTCATGAGAGCTGAGCATTTCACCTCAAACCACTTTGTTGGCAACTTAACCATTTAATTATGCAGACATTTTTGAAAACTTGCTGGAATTGCCCTTTAATAAATAAATGTGTATTTTTTTTAGATGAGTCTTGGAGTTAGATATCTAATGCAATCAGAGTTTTGAAAGTGAAAGAATAAACAAGTCAAATGACAGGCCACATGTGCACCCAAACAAAAGAAATGGCCTGAATGTAAATTGATCTAATTAGATTATGAATTTAAATTCCACTGATAACTTTTTAGTGTTGTTTTTCATAATTTTTTAATATTGTAAAAGAAGGACATGGCCACTTCAAGTAGAAATGTAAGAAGGGAACATGATATTAAGTGGAATGAGATACGGCCCAAAGAACTAAGAAGGAAAAAAACCCTAGAGGACAAATTTCACACTCTTTTTTCCAGTATTTTCCTAGCATACTTCCCAGTATTTCTAATTTGCTTCAAGCGTGGATCGTCAAACAAAAGCTTTGCAAATGCCTCATACAATGCATACAGTTCTGCAAACCATTTTTTACAATTTTTTGGTCTACTAGAAGTATGTATTTTTTTTATTTGTTTGCAAACATACCTGACCAAAAACTCATCTTGCATTTTGTAATAAAGTACAACTTTAACCAGTATATACATATTTTGAAATATTTCAGAATACGTCTAATCTATCTCTGAGTGACCTGCTATCAAACAAAAAGCTTGTGTACATTTTGGGCAGTCAGTAAAATGCACCCCCCACCACAACTCCCTTAAGAAATAAGTAATTTTAACCTAAAAAATTAAAAAATTATGCACAGTCTAAGAAAATAATGCCTATACTTTTATAATTAAGGGCCTATGTGCACTTTTCTTTTTTAATTCTGAAATTCACATGTGCTATAAAATACACTACTACATTGACTCTAAGTGTACAGGGGGCTTTTGACTCAAGGTGTAATAATTTAATTTTTTCAAAGATTGTTTTGGTAGGCCTGAGACCTATGTTGCAAGTAGATTATTTATCTTAAGACCTTTCTAACAACAATCTAACAATAATAACTGCAGGAACATACCTTCACATCATCATATCATATGGGCTAAAAAATGATACAAAGTGAGTTTATCTCCGAATTGTTCTTATGGAACAATCCAAGGAGCTGACCGAATCTAGACCCCCCCAGAAAATTGACAAATGGTGCTAATTGTTAGAGGATAAGACTACATAAGGCTATGCGTCTAAAACAGGATATTACAGTACTATACTTACTACACTACTGAAGTACACTACTGAATGCACTACTATTGGTGGTGTCCTGTTTTGATGTACTATTAAGTAGGAGAGTATGTGGCAACCTATGTGTTTTCTTTCATTTATTGTGGGACTAGACTCTGTCAGTTGCTACAAAATAAATTGCGGTGTATTTGTTATTCTGCACATTCTATAGACATTTTATATCTTTAAGTTTATTTAGTTTATTGCTGTTGCTCTGCAGTCGTGCTCACTTGGTATCAGTTTTTCAGTGTGTCAGTTTGAATAGAAACCGAGCCGTAGTCACTGCCTGAAGAGGGCGTTGGCGTCCCTGTATTGAGCGCTCCTATTGGTCAGCTGTGATGTCAGTGACGAGAGAGGGCGGCTTCCTAAACACTCCCCAACTTCCCTGATATAGTTGCTCGCCAGTGAAGGACTGCTGTTGGTTAGAAAGAGAAGGCGAAACGGGTAACTGCAAAAACGTTATTTTGTTCCACAACAAATGATTAAGAACTTTTTGAGGGTGGATAGTATGTATATCCTAGTCTGAACGGTGTTTTCACCTTTTTTGTTGTGCTACTTACACATGTTATATTCGCCTGATTCTAACTTGCCTTAAGTGTTCTAAGTGCTTTTCAAAGTCGACGTCTGCTCAGTGAATGCGGTGAGTAACTTACTTCATCTTTACTCTCGGCGAACCTAGATAACCTAGGTCGTGGCTCCAGCTTGTCGTGCTGCCTGCCATTTTCTCTCATTCTTCCCAAATCCTCCTTTTCAGTGAAAACTTAGCTAAGCGGCTACGAGTTTAGTTGCTGCTACTTGACATTAACTAACGTTGACGTTACATCTGTTGTTCCTGTCTGTGTGGCTGCCTCGGCGTTTAAACGTTAACTTGCCCCGGAGTTCAGCTTCGTTAGCTAGCCTAACCTAACCTAGCTGTCACTGGAAAAGTTCGGCGTCGTGGTGGGGCTTTGCTGCCAGTCAGCAGCATCGTTCGTGTCATTAAAAAGAGTTAACCACCCGTCACTGGGGGCTTAAGTAGCTATGTTGCGTAGCGTGTTGCTTAGAACATATCTGAATCTCGAATTCATTCTTCTCCACCAAACTTAGCTCACTGATGTGTAGCCTTTTATTTATAGCTAGTTTAGCCACCTAGCGACTCTTCTTGCTCGGCTTGCTCGGTCTTGCTGAGCAGAGACAGAGACAGGAAATCGACTTGCCTAAAATGAGTTAGTTAGCTGGTTAGCTAGCTTCACACAAGCTCGCTAAATGTGAATGCGGCGTAAGCAGTCTTTTAAGTTGTATTAGGCGGCTTATGGGCACTTCAAAAGGCAGGCTGGGTGCCATCTAAAATCTATACTTTCCTAAGAAGTGATGATCGATGCTTCCTGGCTTTGTCGGTCACTTTGACTGGGTGGTGGCAAATCGATATCATCACCGACAGGCATCAGCCTGCTTCCCCAACAGCTCGGCCAAATGAGCTAACTAACCTTGGTGGATCACTGTGTTACCACTCACATTACAAGATCATCACTTCTTATGCTTCCGTGGCTTGTCATACATGTTTCAGGGACTTTCTGCAAAACTACTGTTAGCATTACACACTGTCAATATGGCACGGTTTAAGGGGGAACTTCATCGATTTTTCAAAATTTCTTTATAATTAAATGATGAATGTCAACAAAATCATTCAGAATGGTTGGATGGTTTGATGTGAAATGCTTTGTTCTAGAGAAACTTACCGAGTCAGAATTGTTCACAGTGGTGGTGTTAAGAAACAAGTGTCTGAGGAGTTTAATGGCTCTCAAAGCTCCCTCACATAAAATAATTACATTAAATGGTGATGAACACACTGTCTGATGTCTGAGACATTATTTTACAGTAGTGTTGTGATAGTTTTGGTCTAAAACAAGTTTTAATCACTTTATTTGAATCCATTCATGGTGGAGGGATACATGAAGGGTGTTCTAAGGCAAAACAGTCCCCAACAAAAATTTATTTTATCATATTGACCATTATTTTACAACCTCGTTTCCAAAAAAGTTGTGACACTGTGCAAAATGTAAATAAAAACAGAATGCAATGATGTGCAAATCATTTAAAGTCTATATGTAATTGAAAATTGTACAAAGACAACATATTAAATATTGATTGAAACTGAGAAATTGTATTTATTACTTTGAAAAATAAATGCCCATTCTGAATTTCATGCCGGAAACACATTTCAAAAAAGCTAGGACGGGGCAACAAAAGACTGGTAAAGTTGTGTGATGTTTATAAAAGCTGAGTCTTTCTGAAGTAAATATGTAGAGGGGTTCACCACTCTGTGAAAGACTGTGCAGGCAAATAGTGCAATAATTCAAGAATAAAGTTTCTCAACATAAAATAGCAAAGAACTTGAGGATTGTCATCATCTACGGTACATAATATTATTAAAAATTCAGAGAATCCAGAGAAATCTCTGCATGCCAAGGATTAGGTTGAAAACCAGTACTGGCTGGCCGTGACCTTCGGGCTCTCAGGTGACTCTGCATTAAAAACGGACATGATTCTGCAGTGGAAATCCATGCATTGGCTCAGGAACACGTCTGAAAACCACTGTCAACAGTTTATCGCTGCATCCACAAGTGCAAGTTAAAGCTCTGACATGCAAAGAAGAAACCATATATAAACAGGATCTTGAAATGCCGCCACCTTCTCTGCGCCCAAGCTCATTTAAGATGGACAGACGCAAAGTGGAGCTTGTTATTAGTACACAGTTCAAAAATCTGCATCTTTGATGGTATGGGGGGCATTAGTGCACATGGCATGAGTGGAAGCCACCATTAATCCTGAACAATATGTACAGGTTTTGGAGCAATATATACTGCCATCCAGATGATGTCTTTTTCAGGGAAGGCCTTGCTTACTTCAGCGAGATGATGACAAACCACCTTCTGCGCTTACTACAACAGCATAGCTCCATAGTGAAAAAGTTAGGGTGTTAAACTGGCCTGCCTGCAGAATGGGAAAACATTCCACTTTCAAAACTACAACAGTTGGTCTTCTCAGTTCCCAATTGCTTACAGATTGTTGGTAAAAGAAGAGGTGATGCAACACAGGGGTAAACATACCCCTGTTCCTACTTTTTTGGAATGTGTTGTTGTCATCAAATTAAAAAATGGGCATATATTTTTCAAAAAACAATAAGATTTCTCAGTTTCAATATTTTATATGTTGTCTTTGCAATATTTTCAATTAAATATAGGGTTTACATGATTTGTAAATCATTCTATTCTGAACGTTTTTGCACAGTGTCCAAACCTTTTTGGAAACGGGGTTGTGCCATCATTAACGTTACATAAAAAACTCAGAAGACACCTGTAGGCTCACTGATGGTTTTGGATAGTAAACGAAATAGCTATATGAACTATATGGATTTTGAAAGATGTGTGGAATTTCCCTTTGATGACATACATTTGACAATGTAGAAATGCAAGAAAATGTACAGTTCATTAATATTCTTAGTCAAATTTCTCCCTGTATTATAATAGCCAGGATAGGCTGAATCATGCAGGCTCAAACCTTGCAAGATTTGTAAATTACAATATTAACAACAATGACAAACTTTAGACATTCCTGTGGAAATCTTAAGTAAGACATGTTTTACAGGCCACACTCAAATCAGAATCACGATTTCCAGGAAGCTTTACAATGCTTTGCTTTAAACTGAATATTTTGTACTTAGTTGTTAATCATGAGAATTTACCACGTGGGACGATGCTGATCATGACAGATAAAACATTTCAGATCACTTTTAGAAGCCACTGAAAAGGTATTACTACTAGTAATCTGACCTGTAGTTAAATTACTATTAACTGTAGCTCAGTCTCATTTTCTCTACTGTTAAGAATAGGGGTGCAGGATGATATCAGTATTGGCAGATAATTCTTTTGAAAACTGTATCTGCATTTGACCTATATTTTTAATCAATATTTGACAGCGTATTTATTGTATTCTAGAAGAGCAGAACATTTAGGCGATGCTTAGTTACTGTGCCAAAACATTTTATTCATTTTACTGTATTTGTAACCCTATAACAAAGTTACCTTTCTCCATAATTCTATTCCAGGTAGATTAATACGTTTCTAAAATATTTAAATTGGGACTGTATGAACCCAGTATATACAATCCTATTTCCAAAAAAGTTGGGACGCTGTGCAGAATGTAAAAAAAAATAGAATGCAATGATATGCAAATCATGTAAACCATATTTTTAAAGGAAAATACTATAAAGACAACATATCAAATGTTGAAACTGAGAAATTTATTTGTTTTTTGAAAAATATATGCCCTTTATTAATTTGATGCCAACAACACGTTCCAAAAAAGTTGGGACGGGGGCATATTTACCACTGTGTTTCATCACCTCTTCTTTTACCAACACTCTGTAAGCATTTGGGAACCGAGGAGACCTATTGCTGTAGTTTTTAAAGTGAAATGTTTTCCCTTCTTGTTGATATAGGATTTAACTGCTCATCAGTTTGGGGTGTCCTTTGTCGTATTTTTCATTTCATAATGCGCCACATGTTTTCAGTGGGTGACCGGTCCGGACTGCAGGCAGGCCAGTTTAGCACCGGACTCTTTTAATATGGAGCCATGCTGTTATAATGCATGCAGAATATGGTTTGGCATTGCCTTGCTGAAATAAGCAAGGCTTCCCTGAAAAAGACGTCATCTGGATGGCAGCATATGTTGCCAAAATGTGTATGTATCGTTCAGCATTAATGCTTCACAGGTGTGCACTTCACCCCTACCATGTGCACTAATGCACCCCTATACCATCATGAATACTGGCTTTTGAACTGTGCACTGATAAAAAGCTGAGTGGTCTTTAGCCCGGAGGACACAGCGTCCATGATTTCCAAAAAGAATTTTGAATGTTGATTCGGTAGACCACAGGACACTTTTTGACGTCCCCTTAGTCCGTTTCTGGATCCTGTTTATGTACAGTTTCTTCTTTGCGTTTTAGAGTTTTAACTTGCATTTGTGGATGCAGCGACTAACTGTTTCACAGACGATTTCAGATGTGTTCCTAAGCTCACGCAGTGATTTCCACTAGAGAATCATGTCATCAGGGCCCAAAGATCATGGCCAGCAAATACTGGTTTTTGGCCTTGCACACAGAGATTTCTCCAGATTCTCTGAATCTTTTAATGTTATTATGTACCGTAGATGATGAAAAGCAAAGGTTCTTTGCTATTTTATGTCAAGAAACATTGTTCTTGAATTGTTGTAGTTTTTGCCTGCTCAGTCTTTCACGGAGTGGTGAATCCCTCCTCATCTTTACTTCTGAAAGACTCAGCCTCTCTGTGATGCTTTTTTTTTTATACCCAATCATGTTCCTGACCTGTTGACAATCAACCACCAGGTGTTGTGTTTTGTTTTGTTTTTCTTAGCATTACACAACTTTACCAGCCTTTGTTGCCCCATCCCAACTTTTTTGGAACATGTTGGTGGCATCAAATTCAAAATGGGCATATATTTTTCAAAAAACAATAAGATTTCAAGGTTTCAACGTTTGATATGTTGTCTTTGTACTATTTTTCAATTAAATATAGGGTTTAAATGATTGGCACATCATTGCATTTTGTTTTTATTTACATTTGCACAGCATCCCAACTTTTTTGAAAATGGGGTTGCACATTATGCGTTATTTCAGACACACAAATGAGATTCGATTCATCCTGACTAGTGATGCATCGAGGCTCCTTTGTGTGACTGAAATAATGCATAAAAAAAGAGGTCAATACCACCATATTAGTAGGCTGTGTTTTAATGTGCACATCTTTGATCTCATTATTGCGTTACATTTTTTATGGTTTTTGTGTTTAGAGACAAACTTGGATATATTTTGCCAGGAAATATGCCAGGAAAGATTCTTTCTTTGCTATTTTACTTAGAAACGCACCATGCAGTTTACCTGAAGCCCTGCAGATAACAGTAGCATATAGCAGGATATTCAGGTTATAGCATGGGGATTTTGATATTACTTTGTCCTCCTTAAAGTAATATTCATAACAATCTTGGAGTAAGACACACTCAAAGTAAAACAAGATATCAAAGTAAATTATAAGTAAGCACCAATATGGGAAGTTTGGCCTGATGCTAATGTCTGATTCATTATCATTTATAAGAAATCTACATCTGCCTGGATTAGCATTATGGAGATTTTTTGTAGAGGGTTACAAATGCAGTAAAATTAATGAGATGCAGACATATGAATGCAGTAGCCTGGAAGTTCTGCTCTTCCAGTGAAACAATAAATACATCATCAAATATCACTGAAATGTTGAAAAAAATAAAACAAATAAATGAGAACCAGACATAAAACTTTGTAGAACCACTCAGATAACTAACAGAAGCTAAACTGAATAAAAACAAAATAGTTATCAAAAGAAAGTTGGTAATAATGACTGTGTTGTTGTGATTCCTCTTTAACTAGCCTGTAGTGAAGTCGCAGTTTCCATTTGTTTTGTTTCTCTATGATGGAAACACACTGCTCACTTTGGAGTAGACTGTTTCTGGTAGCTTGCAAGCATTTGCGAAATAAAATGACTGCAGAAAAACTTACTTTTTTATAGTGCAGGCAAAGAATACCTGTCAGCTGGCATTGTGTCAAAGATACAAAACGAGAAGTCAGAGTTTGAATGGCAAATTGCAGAAGTACTTGTTAGCAAGAAATTGGTCATAAGCAACATGGTTTACAGTAGAGGTAGAAGATCTTGTTATTTCTCTATTTTCTAAATTAATTTAAGCACTTTCTTTTAATGTTCCTGTATGTTTACATTTAACTGGATGTGAAAGTTGAAACCTGATCAACAGTAAAGTTTTAATGACTTACTTAATTATTGGACTAAGTAGACTAATTATTTGGCATTTTATATTTGGGTTAACAAATTTGTATTTCTTTGTGTTTATTGTTCGAAGGTAAAGGACTTCTCTGTTCATTTAAAACCAACCACACCATCTTAAGCATCATGCCATTCCCATTTGGGAAGTCTCAGAAGAACCCAGCAGAGATTGTGAGGAATCTCAAGGAGAACGTGGCATGCTTGGAGAAGCTGGAAGCGTCTGACAACAAGAAATGTGAAAAGGTTAGCAGCGGAATAAAAAAAGTTCTGGGATCTGTATACCTAACCAAGCGGTTGTACTGTGCACTGTACTATAATCATTGTATTCAGAAAAATGAAAGCAAATGTTTTTCCTGTTTAAATGTCATGTTGGTGCATGTTGAGGCAATAGGGTTGACTGGAAAACTGACTGATTTTCTCTAAAAGGTTGCTGAGGAGGTGTCAAAGAACCTAGCTTCCCTGAAAGAGGTTCTCTGTGGTACTGGAGACAAGGAGCCTCAAACGGAAGCAGTTGCCCAGCTGGCGCAGGAGCTTTACAATACCAACCTCTTCATCTCCCTTATAGCCAACCTGCAGAGGATTGATTTTGAGGTGACCATCATTTAGGGTTCATCCACATATGTTCAGCCCAGTTTAGGTGTTTGTGTGTAGTTTATTACGGCATTATATTCAAAATGATTTTGATAGAGCACAGAGTTGTAGGCTGGCTCGTGATGGGTAGTGATAAGTGCACACTTCAATTGGCTTTTTGTAGAGTGGCTGTGAGTATTATTTTATTGATCTGTTCAAGGATTTGATTGATTCAAGCGCATTGAACATTTCTAAGATAGACTGCATGTCATGGCATGAAATCAGATATACTAGCTAAGTTGAGAAATTTGTGAAATACTTCCTGATATCTAAACATGACCTCCAGTGAGACCCACTCAAAGTGGCTGTTATCTGCTGTTCATTGTTGCTTGTGCCTAAGCTTTTGTTTTTTTTTGTGTTGCATTTTTGTTGCACTCAAACTAGCTGTGTCTAACTTTGCTCTCCAAAGGGAAAGAAAGACGTGGTACATCTGTTCAGCAACATAGTCCGTCGTCAGATTGGCACCCGCACCCCCACCGTAGAGTACATTTCCTCCCACTCACAGATCCTGTTCATGCTGCTGAAAGGGTGAGTTTTCCAGGCTTCAGGGCACAGCCATAGATCAGCAGTTTCCAAAAAGCATTGATTAGCCTGTCAGTTCAATCTGACATTACTGATACACTGTTACTGTTCAACAATTGTAGAGCTTCAGAGTCCCTGAGTTCTCTCCTGTTGCTTTTAATGCAAAAGGGCATGAAGAATTATGACATTAGTTGCCCGATTATGATTATGGGTTAGTTGTCAGGTTCAGGTGGCGTGTGTGTGCATGCATGCGTGGTCACTTCATTATGTACACCTCCTTGTATCATTGTCCATTTTATCACCTCCGCTTGCCATATAGGCGCACTCTGTAGTTCTGCATAGGGATGCATTGATACACATACTGGTAAGGGGTATTGGGCCCAACTGTGCTTATTTACTTATCCTCGTACTCATAAAAATTCACTGACCAACATCCCTTCAGACCCACGATATGTGATTTTAGCCTTTTTTAAACACGCAATCACACCCGCTTCTCCAAGATGGGTGGAGACATATAAGTCAGCTAAATGGAGACAAAAAAGTCCTACCAAAGTCCATATATGATGACTTGATGACATGATGATTGTTTCACTTAATGGAATAGCGAGGTATAAATGTTAATACGGGTTGTTTTGTGAAATGGACTGCAGAGAGACCGTATTGTCAAACCGTGTACATCACCGTCTGCTTTTAGCTTCAGTGCGCAGTGTTAGCAGCACTCAATTTCTCTGAGTGTTTGCTCAGTACTCGGTGAGCAGTGTGTTACTTTGAATGAAACAGCTTTATTTGAAATAACGGCTGCGTTTCACAGAGTATAGACTGGGTGTTTTCTTACAGTGTGAGTATATAAATCGTAGGCTTTATTCATACACAAAGATCATAGATTGTTTATTCAAACTTACAGTGCAAGTCAGAACAAAATTTCTAAAATTGCAGTGCATGTGTGGCTTTAGAAGAAATTCAACTTCAAATTCTTTTCCACAGCAGCGCTACTCAATCCAAGGTAGCATTAAGGAATATAGCACAGCTAGCTAAGGCACTTCATTTAAAATTAGATACATTTTTAACGATTTAACTGTTAACGATTTAACTACTTTATTCTAAGTAGGTTACTCAGTATGGTATCAGGCTCTGTATTGACGGGTATGTACCCGTCAATACAGAGCATGTACTACTCATATTCATACACGGTCTGAAAAAAACGGTATTGATGCATCCCTAGTTCTGCAATTACAGACTGTAGTCCATATGTTTCTTAACTTAAATAGCTCTCAATGAGGTGTAATAGTGACATTTGTCAGAAAAATGGAGCTCAAAACAGAGGCTCAAAAACTTGGAATTAAAAAAATGTATACAAATATATTTACTCAATTTTATATAAAACAGACACATAATGAGTCACTGACAGTGTAGAAGGGGCACACATCGGGGCGGAGCTTGCCTTTTCAGTATGTTGATGCAAATGAGAAAAACAGACTAAGAACTATACATATGCACATGTTGGTTGCAGTTGTGTCAGATATGTGCATAAATAACAAAAGGCATAAGAGGCACATGAGGAAAAAATCTTTCACAACACCAAATTTTATGTGTAATGGCCTTCTTTTTCCAGGATAAAAAAGGCTACATCAACAGACTTGTTGCGTTGGGTCTTGCATATTCTTAAGTTCTATAAGATACATTATTCTTAGAGCGACTGCTGTTGAATCAGTCCTCTTGCTTGAGTGATGATTCTAGAAAATCAGAGTCACAAAGGGCGTGTACAAAAAATGGGGGAAATGGGAATTTGAACAAAAACATTAAAGTATGTCCTTATTTTTTATGTGAGAAACAGTTTAGGGTTGTAAATCGGGATTTTACGTCATTGTACACTCTGTGATAGGGTAGATCTGGACAGTGGATGATAATTGTGGGGGGAACTTTGGTTAAAAAATACAATACTGATACAGTATGATGATACATCTTTAGTGTGGCCAGTTTTGTTGTTATGATAAATGTTATGCTTTGCTGAGGATATTGTGGATATTGATCATACTTAAAAGAGAGCATTATTAGTGTTGTTTAATTGAATTTAGTGCAGTACAGTATGAAATGTTAATTATTGTACTCCTAGTTTTTGATAAACATTTTTAAATGTGGCAGCACTGGTATATTCTGTCCGTTTGTCAGAATATTGTGGTACCTATTGTGTATTGTGAAGATGTCCGAGTGTTGTTATATTACAAAAATATTATATCACCCACCTGTACTTAGTTCTTAGTCCTTCACTGGTATGATGACCTCCAGTTGTGACCATCTGTTTTCTGTTAATTGCAGCTATGAGACTCCAGAGGTGGCTCTGAACTGTGGCATGATGCTGAGAGAGTGCCTCCGTCATGAACCTCTGGCTCGCACTGTCCTCTTCTCTGAGGATTTCTACTGCTTCTTCCGCTATGTGGAACTATCCACCTTTGATATTGCCTCTGATGCCTTTGCTTCATTTAAGGTGAGTAAAGTAATCTGAGTTATTGTGCATAAGGACCACTTTATGATACTATACAGAAGATAATTTCAGTGGCATCTGTTCAGGTTTTTGGCAGCTTGTATTCTCTTGTCACTATACTGCTTGTTAATTCACCTAAGATGTTTTACAAGGCAGTGTTATTTATGAGAGTGTTTGTCAACTGTGGTCTGAAATAAATATTTATTTGTGTGTAATATGTTTAGGATCTTCTAACGAGACACAAGATAATGTGTGCAGATTTCTTGGAAACAAATTATGACAGAGTAAGTGTAACTTTTTGTCAGAGGTGTAAAATTCAGAAAGTAAAAATCCTTCCCAGGATTTTGTTCCAACGGCCTGGCTTCTCTAGTTAGATCAAACCTCCAGCAGAGCTGTCCAGGCAGTTGGAACAAAATCCTGGGAAGGATTTTTACTTTCTGGACCTGAATTTTACACCTCTGCTTTTTGTATTTTTATGCTTAAAACAATACTTCACCTAACAATTCTAATATTGCTTTTAACCAGTTGAGGAAATTAAAGTATCCTTGATAATTTTCCAGGTGTTTACAGAGTATGAAAAGCTGCTGCATTCAGATAATTATGTCACCAAAAGGCAGTCCCTAAAGGTGAGTTTCTTTGCTTTTCATCCGAATGGTTTTTATATATATATATATATATATATATATATATATATATATGCCAGTTTAAACACTGAATGACAAATAAAACATCCAAGCATGTATTTACCTGCAGTGGTGTGGCTGAAAAGAACACATGCGGGGAAACTGCATTGTGAATCCATTGAGGGTTTTCCACCTACGTTTTAAAGTGGACTTTGAAAATGTGCAACAAAAAACTGGAAGAAATTTGAAAAAATGGCTAAATATTGCAAAAATGTTTTGCACTTAGATGAGATGGAAGAGTTGGCTTATTGCTAAAGGAGAAATGCAAAAACAGCAATGGAAACAAATAAATGGGAATAAATGATTATGTAGCAGGAAGTTCAAGTCATGTGTTTGTGCTCCATCTGATGATGACAAATATAGCAGCATGTCAACACTACATCTGGACTGACATTCCCAGGGCTTTGGTGGGCGATGGTGAAGCGGGACCTTGGTTGTTTCTGATAAGCCTAACGTATATCTACAGGCAGCTCTGTGTAATTTGGATCATTTTCTCCCCTTAAAACATTGTTTATAATGGCTATAATAAAAACTGTAGCTCCTGCAATTTGAAAATGATACTTGTTGAAATTGCAATTTTGATATAGAAATGATTATTCATCCCCAATAGAAACAGTCATTAATTTGCATTTTAATTTTTGCATTTGAAAAACATTTGAATGGAAACCCAGCAAATAATTCAGAACTCAGAAAATGTATGACAATGCAATGAGTAGATAGGGTCCATGCGTTAGTGTGTAACTTGGTTGTTTCCATAAAGTGGCACCTTCAAAGATCTCTTCTGTTCTAATATTAACTGAGGTCTTGCGTGCAGCTTTTAGGAGAACTCCTGCTGGATCGACACAACTTCACAGTCATGACCAAATACATCAGTCGAGCTGAGAACCTGAAACTGATGATGAACATGTTGAGAGATAACAGCCGCAACATCCAATTTGAAGCCTTTCATGTCTTCAAGGTATGTGTCTGAGCGTGTGTGCAGTATAAGTCCTGTAATTTAATTCGGCAGACTAGTAGAGCTTGTTTCTCCTGTCTGCTGTTTTCCCCTCTCTGCCCCTGTGGCTTTGCACACTTAACAGATGATTGCTCCCCTGTCCCAGTTGTGACCTCGCCCATTAGGAGAGTAGAATCGCTGTACCTTAACCCCTGTGGTGCTAGATTGAGTGGCCTCAATAGAAAGTTGAAATTGAACAACTGAAATGTGCTGTTCTCCATGTGCCTGTAGGTGTTTGTGGCGAACCCAAATAAGACGCAGCCAGTGTTGGACATCCTCCTAAAGAACCAGTCCAAGTTGGTGGAATTCTTGAGTCACTTCCAGACAGACCGCTCTGAAGACGAGCAGTTCTGCGACGAAAAGAACTATCTCATCAAGCAGATACGTGACCTCAAGAGACCTGCACCACCAGAGGAGGCATAAAGGGAGCAAGAAACGGAAGCACGGGATGAAAGCGTCGGGCGGTGATGTGCTTTTTGTGGATGAGGGAGGGAACTAGAGGGAATAACCAGGAAAGAAAGACATGCCTCACTAGATCCCATTTCTGAGCTCTAAAATGGGTAAATAAATGTTATAGTCAACATTTGCAAATCCACCTTTGCTTAGAGACGAGGGTGATTTTGCAATGAGAAGAGGAAGTGGGACCCAAGCACTATTTATACCCCAGTCTTTTTTCTCCAGTGAAAAATGTTACAAATACAAATGGATTCTTTTGAGCCTTCTGATATTTTAAGACCATTGTTTGTCTGTGTAACTTCTTACTACCTGAGACCATTTGAGTTAACCTTAGCTAGTTTTTTCCCGTTTTGGATGAAAACATAAAACATCAATTGGAAAAATTACCCAAGGCCTTTTTAGGGATCTTCACAGATGTGTTTTCCCTTTAATTGTTTGGACAAAGAAAATGTTTCTGACGCACATCTGCATTTACTGCAGGGTCTTTGGTGGGGCTCCAATAACCAACCCTGGCTTAGAGGTACATTTGAGGTTGAAAGCAACACATTGGAAAGTGACTGTGTAGAAAAGATGTCATAACTTTAGAAAATTAAGGAATTATTTTTTAAGTCTGCACTCTAGTTAATAGTAAAACAGATCATTCTCTCCAAAACTGGGTGTGTTCCATATATCAGATCTGTTTTGTTTTTTTTTTTTTATATAAACAAATTCAAAGGGGAGTGTCTTACTAAACTGCCATATAGTCCAGAACACCAGGCTTTTCTCAGAGACCAATTTTACTCTCTCATTTCTGATGTTGCACTCACTTTCCAATCTAACTGGTTGCATTATTTAAAAAGCTTAATGGGTTGTTCTTAATACTCTCACCTAACGTTGTATTTATAGTATTATTCTAATTTCTCTTTGGTTAGCTCATTTGAAGCAATGGGAGAGGCTCTTTTAAAAGTAGATCTTCATCAGATTTTTGTTTCCCATTTATTAGCTGTGCAACCAATTCTGAGTTTGTATACGTCACTGATTTAGAAATACACGGTACGCATGGAACATTAATCTCTACCCACACACTGTAATGTTGTAAGAATGATGAGTGCAGGTCTAAATACAAGTTCTGATGCTCTTCAGATGCTGCATTTTGAATTACAGCTTTACACATCAACATGCAAGCCGACGAAGCCATTAACTGATCGGAAAGACCATTTAACAGCGTGTTTGTCAACATCTGCACTGTCAAACTTGAATGAGCCAAAACTGTGGTAACACTTGTTACATCTAAAGATTGTATTATTGCGCTTCAAGTCTGATTTGCACTTTTCAGTACCTCTTGGTCATTGAAAGGTCCTTTTGAATGAAAATGCAGAACAGGATTCTACTGAAAAGAAAAAAAAAAAACATTAAATTAGTCAGTTTACCTTACGCTGAACTTATTTTATGAACTCTGTTTGCACAAGTTCTTGTCTTATATACCTCATAGGTTCTGAGTTGCTTAAGTGCTGTTTTTTTTTTTCCTTTTTTTTTTTAGTTTTGTGTTGTATTACTGTGGATATAAGGCAGTAGTTTGAATAATGCAAGCGAACGTAAGACGTTAAAAGAAGACAGCCTTCAGTTGCTGAATGGGATCCGCAAGGGAAAATATAAACTGTTTGCTCATGCATGTCGAATGCCATGAGCATGATGAGATTTCTGTGTATTTGTGTGAATGTGCCACAGCTTCACTCCTGGGTTTAAGTGAGAGATTTGAAATGTCTGTGAGTCACATATGTAGTGTAGTATGATTGCGCCGAATCCAGCAGCTATAAATTGTAGGTAGAACGCAGCGTTTAATTAGTACAGGGGGGACGCGTGTTAAAACAGGGCTGTTACACCTTTCTGAAAATGTGATACCTTTCATGCAGAAGTGATTGTTTTCAAAATAAAAACTCTTGAGTACAATATGCATAAATATGCATAAAATACCTTACTTAAAAAAAAAAAAGTCACCAGGTGTGAATGTGAACCACCTTCACAGCTTAAATTGTTGCTCTCTCTGGCCTGAGCGTTAGCACAGGCTTACTTCAGTATATCCCAAAAGCCTGAAAGATACTTAAATGTAGCCGTTATAAACAGTTGAGTGCTGGAGTAGTGAGGGAAAGGTGGATTTAACTCTCCAACTAAACAACCTTCTCCAACAGGTGGTGGTGTTTCTGAATGGGTTGGATATGCCAGCATTTAGCACCTAGTTCTTTTAATAAATTATATTAAATTGCTGTGGACAAAAGTGATAAATTACACAACAAATCTTTACTAAATTATTGGGTGCGGGCTTCACTTTGGGGTTAGGCTGAAAATGAATGCTTTGATCAGTTCCTCCAAATTTTTTACCTATCTTTCATTTTCCTGTAAGTTTTCTGTTACATTTTTCACCATGGGAGAGGATTCTATATGTACATAAAAAATATTTTGAAAAATAAAAGTGTGGAGGCATATTGGACATAAATTAGTGCATGATTTGTCAGTTTTTATCTTGAGAATGTTCTGCAAAATGCTGGTGTGTTTAATGATGTCACCTGATTTGATGTGACGTAAACGTAAAACAAAAATTTGGTGGATGGTCAACTTTGGAGAAACCTCCATTAACCTATTTTAACTTGGTACATAAGAAATGACAGTTTTGTCACAGTGCGACTTAAAACGTCAGATTCAGACTGTACGCAGCCTGTAGACAGATGTCTCTGTGTTCACTCCCTGTCCCACAGGACCAAAACCTTCCACAATTTACCTGTCTCCATGTTCCTAAAGATCTGACTCAGTTCTCCAACTGTGCTTGAGCAGAGAAAACACTAAATCAGGGAACATCATTATATCCTGATGGATGTTTTACAAACCAGGACTACTTAGAGATCTCTTGAAGACCAGCCTGTCCAACAGAATTGTAGGAGTGTAACAACACTCATAGAACATGTTCAAAAGTATTCAGTTTGAAATTGATTATTCTGCATTACATATAATTTAAAAAAAAGGAAAGAGGAAAAGCACACACAGAGGTGTATATTGGCTTGGGGCTACTGCATTATTATGAAATATTGTACTGTTGTGCTGCTGAATGCTCTGATAAACTGAAAATGTAAACATTAACATAAGGCAGAATTTTAGTCACTCCTTATTTTTGCTGTATTGAAAAATGTATTGAAGTAAGACACCATCATATCACATTGAGTTGAATTATACATTTAATGAATAGGTGAGGGATGGTCCTAGTAGAGAGTCCTCATTTTTGCCTTAAAGTGATGGCTTGGACAAAAATCAAATCTACATGATTTTCCCTTTATCCCAAACAAAGTTGATCAGCCTAGGCATGTTTGGTGTCTGAAGTTTGCTTCTGCACTGGGCTTAAGAGGCTAAAATCGCTGAGAAGTAACAGAAGCTTATAGTCACCAAAGTGCTTGCTTCAAATCACATTAAGTTATTAAATAAGACCAAAAAGACATGCTTATGTGGTTTATAACACTATCATCACTATAAGTCTTTGCTGATCGATTACATTTGGGGTAAATTGTGTAATTTTGTGTTTCGACTGAACCAGTGCTTTACGTTATGCAGCTTATTGAGAAATCTCACCCTGCACAATACTTCCCCTGGGATATTCCACCAAGACGTTTTTCCCTGTTAGACAGATTAATTATGCTGAGAGCCAAGCTGCCAGTCGGGGACATTCCTGTTGCACGATCATCACTTTTGGCTGAAGTCAGTGGCTCCCAAAGTCAGTCCTGGGGACCCCAGATTCTGCACATTTTTTTGTTTTTCCTACTCTAACCTGACCCAGCACATGAGGAGCTTAATAAGTGTGCACAGGTGTGCACAGAGCGGGGTCCCCAGGACAGACTTTGGGAATTGCTCAGCACGGTTTGGTGATCTCCCTGCTTAGACACATCTAATATGACTCAACAGTTGATTACAAGGTATGGTTGGTATGTTGGAGCACTGAAATCACCAAACGTTGCTTGGCTCAGGCCCTCTAGGGCCTATAGGACCCCAGCACTAAATTCTGCGTTTATGAGGCTCGAAATGAAGAACTCTGGACCTTTTTGTCCCTCACTGAGTCACTGGTGATTATAGTGGTGGCGCAGGAGCTCCAAGGCTGTCAGACTCCGGCCATGTCTCTCTTTTTCAGCTCTCAATTCATTACGAGCCTCCTCCACCTCCTTCTGCAGCCTCTCTGTAGAGGCCTGGTACTCCAGCCTGGTGTCCTCCACTCGCCTTGCCTCCTCCATCTTCTGCTGTGCTTTTACTTTCTCCAGCTCCCAGGCCAAGTCTGAGTGTTCCTGTTTAATCTGCCGATACCCGTCTCTGGTTCTTCTCAGCTCAGCCCTCAGCCCATCCGCCTCCTCAGCCTTTTCCTGGCTCTGCTTGGCAAGCTTCTGTAACTGAACATCCTTTTGATAAACCTTCATCTTCAGAGCTTTAACCACTAGGGCATGGCGTGCTGCCTCTTTTCTAGTGCAGTCCAGCTGCTCCTCACGTTCCTCCAGAAGCTCCTGCAGCCTCCTTCTCTCCTCACGTTCACTCTTAAGTTGCTCATCTGAGCTCCTGAGCCTCTGCTGAAGCCTCCATCTGTCCCTCTCTAGTTCAGTCAAAGCTGCCCGTAGTGTGGAGATGTCCTTCTCATTCCAAATGCATTTCTCCCTACTATTAATCTGTCCAGGACAGTCTGGCTTCAGCATTTCACATGAATCTTTTTTCTCTACATCAGCTGCTATAGGCTGTTCATCCCTGCTCATTCTCTTGGCCAGGCTACTCCTCCTTATCTTCTCCTCTTTCTCTTGTACTTCTCTTAAAACATCAATGTAGATCTGCCTCCTGGACTCAGTCCTGTCAGGAAGCACAATTCTTGGCTCTTCAGTTGTCTTTGATTTGCCCTCAAGCAGGTCTTGAAAAGTGAAGTGAGGAGGAAACAACTTCTCTACCCAGTGTTGGTCTAGTTCTTCTGACTGTCTCGCACCGCTGTTCGTGGTGTCCATGTTTTTGGCAAGTCTGCAAAACTAGTGAAAATAAGCCTGAAAAAAGTCGAAGGTTAAAGAAACAGCCAACCGGTTCTGCGAAGAAGAAACGTTCCTTCCTTTCTTTCTGTTTACATTAGCAACCATGGATGGCTAAACTACACCATGAAACTAGGTACTCATATGGCATTTTGCGAAAGAGGGATTACAACGCGACTGTATAAAGCTATCTGACCACTGCAGACATCATTTATAAGAGAAAAGCAGTGTTTTGTTCCTTACATCGACAGTGTTATGATCGCTGCAGCCGTATGGAGAAAGGAATCTAAAGCGATGAGCTCCCTCTAGTGGTGAAACCGGAAACTACACAGCAGTGCAGGCTCGCTCGCCTTCCTGTCCCTCAAAAAGATCTTTTTTCGTAACTCCTTTTTACCTTGTATCATTTTTATTAAGTATTATAACAATTTAGGAAACAAACTGTACATTTGCACTGCATTTTATCTAAAATAAGACCCACAGGACGGCGCTTGTGCAGTGGTCACATTTCACAATGGCAGTAGCGCCCCCTCTAGGCTTGTTTTGAGAATGACGCAATTTGAAATAATACATTAAAGAGCCCATACCTGACATTGTTCAGGGAGTTTTTGCTACTGTGCCTTTAAAACTGATATATGGGATTAATCTCTGTTCTAATTGGCTGCTCTTTATTATGCTTCATTTAAAAAGAAGCCTGGACCGAAACACCTCTTAGAACTTTACAGTAAACTGCTGTAGACTGAATAGGTGGATGTACAGTTGCGCACCCCTGTTCAAATTCCATGTTTTGTTGATTTTTTAAGTTAAAAAAGTGCACGTTCTCTACAGAGAACACCTGTCTGCACATTTTAATACACAGTTACTGTTTATTTGCTGAATTTGACATATTGGAGACATACAAAAACATAGAATGTGGTTTGTGCAAAAGTTATGGCACATTTTATATATATATCTATATATTGCAATCTGTTACATTCAGCAAATACATAAACTTTTGCATGCAACTTTATGCAAATGTATTGGTTTCTGTGATATCAGAATGGGCTGTTTTGCAGCTTAGTTTCCAAGCGTAGACTGTATGGACCGAACAGTGAACGGTACCTTTTGAAAATGTAACAATGTTTACATGCTACATCAAAATCCTACTTCTATGACATGGTTTCTATGATATTGGCCATTTAAGTAATGTAATAAAGTTCAATCTCGGCTATAGCCATTAAAACCATAGATCCCATATACTGTTGCTGTAATATTACTGACTCAGCTTATGAAAGGCTTAATAATTATCTGACAAGATAAATCAGATGTGTTAGAAACAACAACAGAGTGAAGTGCACAGAGTCGTGAAGAATGGATTTACAGCCAATGATCTAATATTTTTGTGCATGCAAAATCATTCACATAGTAGTGACGGGGCAAAAATATCTCCCTTATTATTCTTATCTTTACCTGTTAAATATAAAGTGTTTCAGCTACACAGCTCTGGATGTGCTGAATGCTCTCACAAAGACTCAAAAATACTGCATAAAACAAACAACGTGATACCAGACTTTCCATTCACTTCTAGCAGAGCTGCATGGAACTGTAAATATTACATAAATATTACATGCTAGATGATGAGAAAAATGAGACGAGTTTTTTAATGCTGGCTTCTAGGAGAAATCTCATTAAAGTTGTGTGTATGCTACCCTTTTGAGACCCTCAGTTGCAAAACTGCAACAACTGTTTAAAGCAGTGTATTTACTAAATGTCACTAAAACAACAGAATACCACAGCCCACACTCTACACTGTATCAGAGCACCATTTGAGGTAAAAAAATAAAAAAGTTATTTTCTGAATTTCACAGCATGCCAAAGTCAAACAGCATGTCAGCCTCTTATTAGTGTCACTGCTCTGTAAATATCCAAGTAAATATCTGAGCTGTGTTTTTTCCCCATTCATTCCTGATGTGTTTAGTAATAACAAAAATACAGCAAATAAATGATAGATTTATGTAAACATAGTCTTGAGTCTATTTTTGTGAATCTTGCAAAAATGCAACCAGAGCTCTCAGTTTTCACCACTTTCAGCATTATTCACACCACTGCCCCTTTCTCTCCATTAAAATCAACACGTCCATCTCTGGTCTTGCGGACCCCCAGCCACATACAGTTTCAACTATTCCCCACCTCGACTCCTCTCCAACTCATCAGGAAATATTCAAGCCCTTTATGAGCTGGTTTAGGTGTTTTGGAGAAGGAAATCAAATCAAATCAAATCAAATCAGATTTATTGTCACATCACAAGAGTACAGGGACACAGGTGAGTGAAAAACTTGAGCGAGTTCCACAAATTATGCAGAGAACAGTATTTACAACATAGATAAACAAAACTATAGATAGGATAGAAGAATAGATAAAACCAATTTAACTAAAATATATACATAATTTTAAAATATTAAATTAATTTACTGTTCTTATGCACTCCTTCGCGAAAGTTTCTGCCCCCTAGTCAAACTGCATGATTTGTTGATTTTCTAAGTGAGAATAAGTTACACACCCACTACAGAGAACACACTTCTGCACAATTTAATACACAATTACTGTTAATCTGCTGAATTTGACATATTGGGGAGAAACAAAAACATATTTTTAATAATACAAATACAAATAGTGCACTAAAATTTGCAGAGAAAATGCTATATTTAAGTCTGTTCTCTGTAGAGGATGTGTTCAATTATTTTCATTCTTTCAGAGAATCAACAAAATCCTGGTCTTTTGACCAGGGGTGTTCAAACTTTTGCATACAACTGCATAAGATATGTAAAATAAATTAATATAAGATAAATTATATTTTTTAAAAATCTTTAAAAAAATTGCAAGAACAAGTATATACACATCTTTGTGTGTTACATTCACTAAAATGAAAAGAAAATTTTCTAACCTTTAAAGCCCACAGTTTTTGTAACACTTTTACAAAATCCACAAAACATCATACTTTTTATGTTCTGTGGCTTCTTAAAAGCAGTTTGCAAAGGAAAAATAAAAATACATCAATTAAATTCAGTGCTTGGGTCTCTGAACTTTAAGTACGATTTTGGTAAATTTGTGCCTTTTTTGCTATCACTTTTTTACTTGATACATCTGTGAAAGAAATCTACTTTTAAGTCCTTTGCATTTTAGTTCCAAATGTGTTTGTGGGATTTAATATTATTGTGTTTCGTTAGTTCAGAATCTGTACTGCTTTGTTGTTGCTCACACCACCAACTTTGGAGAAGAACAGGGTCTAATGAAATTTCTCAGGCTGATAGATATTATATGCAGTTCCACTGCAGTTCAGTTAATGTATAGCATCTACTTATCCATTTACTTGAGCCTTTATTTCAGTGAAATAAGCGTGTTTATGCTCCTCTGTATCTCACACACAAACTAAGGTGGTGTCACGCTTGATTTGCTACTTCACACTTTCTTGATCATTAAGGAAATAACGCTGTTTTTAAAGCCCCCGCTGTTGTAAACAGGATAATGCAGTTATAGTTACAATAATGTAGCCTCTCAAGGGACGAGAAAGACGATTAGTCTAGTTTAAAATACATATTGCTCACAGACAGACTCCATGAAACTGTTAGAAACAGATAAATCAGAATAAATGTTGAATAACCTGGTAAAACTGTTAATCAGATAAATAAGACAATCAAAATGGGGACATTTATAATTATTTAAAAGAAATCTTACATCAATTTCACTTGCAAACAGTGTTGTGTTGTACAGGAAGATAATTGATAACAAAGTATTTAGGAAAAGAAACAAAACAGACAAATGGTTCTTCTCATTAGAATAGGGTTCTCCACATACTTTGAAAAGATGAAAACTGGAAAGAACTCTATTCATATGAGAAGAACCATTTGTCAGTTTTGTTTTTCTCTGAAGTGTCTTCCTATGTAACACAACACTCTCTTTGCAATTGAAAATTATGTAAGATTTCTTTTAAATAATTGTTAATGGTTCTTCTCATAAGAACTAGGTTCTACACACACTGTGAAAAGATGGAGACTGGAAAAAATCTAATTTTCTTCATTTCTTCCTTAGTAAGAGCTGATGCTTTCAATTCATATGAGAACCAGAAAACTACAATATTGAAGTACAAAATGAACTCAAAGTAAATTCCCACTAAGGCAGAAAGTTTGCAGTAGGCAGACACAACAAGCCCACATGCAGATAAATGAAGTCAGGCTGATTGTCTAGTGGGGAAAAGCAGCTTTAGTGGGGAATGCTGAGGGAAACTCCTGTCTTTGATGCATGGCACAATGGTGCTATAGAGTTGTGGGGGTAGGGTTTACAGGGGTTAGGGGTCACTTCAGCCTTCTCGCTCTTTCTGGCCGCACGATAAGACAGCTAAACCGAGCCGAGAGCACTCTTACACACACTGATTGTTCCAAATTTATCGCTACACGTCGTTTCATTTCCGCAGGATTCGTAGCTTTTCTACAGCACAGGATGATCACGGGTCGGTGTGGATCGGCGTTAAAAGCTCAAATATGCAGAACAACTGTTACGGTGGGCTACGTGAGTCTCCTCTCCCTCACCCCACCCCCAGAAAGAAAAACAACAAAAGGATGCTCTTCAATTACATGCATGACATAACTTTTTGTTGTCTTCCTAGACTGGCGACATGGGTCGAACATGAAACATCTGCGCGGTAGCCCAAGGTAGCGGAGAACCGCTTTGGGGCTTCAGAGGAGCAGGAGGGCGTCTGTGCTGCTCACTTTCGTTTACCACGGCTTTTTTTTTTTCTGAGGCTCAAGATGAGGCAGACATTTTTCACTGTATTTCTCAGTTTCTCAGACACTCGGTTACCTAAACTTACTGAGAAGCAGAACTTTATCACTCATTAGAAAGGCTGTGGTTATATTCGCTTAAATTAGGAGCTTCCTTCAGTGGACCCGTTTTATCTGTGTAGCAACTGATTTTTTGGCTAACGTGTAGTTCGTGTTTTGTTTTCTTTTTTCTTTTCGGTTTTCAAGGCTGGATAAAAGACACATTTCTTAAGCTTCAGAATCTTTATACTGTGGTAGCATTAGTCATTTTTATTCTTTGTATATTTCCTATATGCTACAGTATAATCTGTAATTATTATGACTGTCTATTTTCTTTCTTTACTACTTTTGTGGTGTTTCAAGGCTGCATAATTAGCTGGCACATTTCTCAGGCTTCCTAACCTGGCACAACGAGTAATTCTCAAGGCTCTCTCTCTCTCTCTCTTTCCT